AGCGAGTCTCCAGCCGACTACAGCATCCGCTCCCTAACTATACTCCAGCGAGTCTCCAGTCGACTACAGCATCCGCTCCCTAACTATACTCCAGCGAGTCTCCAGTCAACTACAGCATCTGCTCCCTAACTATTCTCCAGCGAGTCTCCAGTCGACTACAGCATCCGCTCCCTAACTATACTCCAGCGAGTCTCCAGTCGACTACAGCATCCGCTCCCTAACTATACTCCAGCGAGTCTCCAGTCAACTACAGCATCTGCTCCCTAACTATTCTCCAGCGAGTCTCCAGTCGACTACAGCATCCGCTCCCTAACTATACTCCAGCGAGTCTCCAGTCGACTACAGCATCCGCTCCCTAACTATACTCCAGCGAGTCTCCAGTCAACTACAGCATCTGCTCCCTAACTATTCTCCAGCGAGTCTCCAGCCGACTACAGCATCCGCTCCCTAACTATACTCCAGCGAGTCTCCAGTCGACTACAGCATCCGCTCCCTAACTATACTCCAGCGAGTCTCCAGTCAACTACAGCATCTGCTCCCTAACTATTCTCCAGCGAGTCTCCAGTCGACTACAGCATCCGCTCCCTAACTATACTCCAGCGAGTCTCCAGTCAACTACAGCATCCGGTCCCTAACTATACTCCAGCGAGTCTCCAGTCGACTACAGCATCCGCTCCCTAACTATACTCCAGCGAGTCTCCAGCCGACTACAGCATCTGCTCCCTAACTATACTCCAGCGAGTCTCCAGTCAACTACAGAATCTGCTCCCTAACTATTCTCCAGCGAGTCTCCAGTCAACTACAGCATCCGGTCCCTAACTATACTCCAGCGAGTCTCCAGTCGACTACAGCATCCGCTCCCTAACTATACTCCAGCGAGTCTCCAGTCGACTACAGCATCTGCTCCCTAACTATACTCCAGCGAGTCCCCAGTCGACTACAGCATCCGCTCCCTAACTATACTCCAGCGAGTCTCCAGTCGACTACAGCATCCCCTCCCTAACTATACTCCAGCGAGTCTCCAGCCGACTACAGCATCTGCTCCCTAACTATACTCCAGCGAGTCTCCAGTCGACTACAGCATCCGCTCCCTAACTATACTCCAGCGAGTCTCCAGTCAACTACAGCATCCGGTCCCTAACTATACTCCAGCGAGTCTCCAGTCGACTACAGCATCCGTCTAAATCTCCAGCGAGTCTCCTGTCGACTACAGCGTCCAGAGCCAATAATTATAACTTACTTGCTCTCTTGCTGCGCAGCTTTAATGACAGACAGACCTGAGTAATTGTCCTTTAAATGTTCTTTATTACGGACGGGAGTCTCGAGGAGTTCTCAGAGAATCTCCCAAAAAGAAGAAATAAGCATGGCCGGTGGATCGGCATTGAGAATCCCCCGAGGATTCATTGGGAATCGGCACACATCCCATTGAGAATCCCCCGAGTAAACACAAATACAACAGTGTTATAGAATAAGGAGGTATGGCAAAATGACATGAAACATTAATTAATTGACAAGCCCTTTGGTTACTATGTAACCAAACTCTGTTTTTAGTTTCGAGTTTAGACACCTGTCTAGTTTCATTTCCCAAATTATGTTATTCATACACACAGTCATGGGTTTTCTTCCAAGAGACACACATACATTCATCCAAAGGATAAAACGTCTTAGTACATTGTTTCAGAGTGTTAGCATAAGGTCAAATGTTAAAAAACATGGTCAGCCCAACATTCAGCCTAAAATTTCCACGACAGCTCATACTGTCCCATTTTTGCTAATTTTGGCCTCCATGAACATAATTGTTTTTACATAATCAAATAGAAGAGACACAATGTAACTCCAAACTCCATGTATTTCAGATGCTGTTACGTATCATAACCTCATCATCTGCAGAGAGAAACTGCCACTACACGCATAATGAAGGACGTAACTAAATACATCATAGAGAGGATTGTGAAGATATTTCACTGGAACTTGGTCTGCATCATTACATCGATATCGTGTTCAATGTAAATTGTTATTTATTAATGTATTCAGCTAACAACTGTTATTAGAGCACTGTCATTTTTGCTATAATCTGCCATGTCAATAAAAAAACATGCTGTTTTAAAAAATATTTAAAACCCAAATAGAGGTAGCAAGATAAAATAAGACCATATTTTAATATATCAAATATATTGTATATTTATATATTAATATATACAAATAATATGAATAATATAAAGATACTAAAATACTAATATTAATGAAAATAAATATTGCTGAAAAGGTTATTTATAACACCATTAAGGGCCTATATAACACGTTCAAAGCATGGTTCTTTATTGAACCTTATCAAAAGGGTTCTATTAGCACCAAAAAGTGTTGTGCTATTGTTACAAGCCGAAGAACCATAATTTGGTACATTTTAGAACAATTTTTTTAAGGACTAAAAAGGTTTACTTTGTCCTTTTCAACAATAATTAAGTGACAGATCTGCAAATTCCTTTGGGTCATAAAAAAGTCTTATCAGTCTTAATGTGTCCTGTAACAGGACACCCGGTTCTGCCAGCTTCATTTGACCTTTCTTGGGAGAGTGAGTTTGCTGGATTATTCTTTAAATATAATTAATAATTTGTGTGTGTCTGATTGGTCCAGATGCTACACTTTTTAAACTTGAAATTAATGTTTTTGCAGAAGGAATCGTCACATGTGGCTGCTTTCTTCCAGGAAGGAAGAGGGGCTAACTGAGCGTGTGTAATATGAATATCATCTCTCTAGCTCATTCCTGATTGGAGAAATAAGCCATGTTAACCCCGCTCTCCCCTACCAGAATATTTGATGCAAATATTCACCAGAATGTATGGGGTTTTATTAGTGTTTCTCAAAATGGCAAGCTTCTGCCCTCTGGTACTGTTCGTGTTTCGGTCAAAAATGGCAGAATTTTTTTTTTATTTCAATGGAATGATTGTACTATATTTTAGTTTGATAATATTTTGTATTTTAAGGAGGTTTTATGGTACAAAATTATATTTATGCAGAAGTTATAATCCATTTAATCATTTTTTGAGCATAGACTGGAAAATGAAAGGTCATAAATCTTGAATGCTTTGGAGCACAGATTTAAGTTTTTTTTACTTTACTTTTAAAAATGACACTTGGCGGAATGTTGCTGAAGTGAAAAAACGTTTAAAAAGTGAACTTTTACTACATTTATTGTTATTAAAAAAATTCACAAAAATACCATTTTCATTTTTGTCTAAAATATATATTTTCCAAAGCAAGTTTTACTCTTAAACTATGAGAAAATCTAATCCATAAATAATTAGCTGTCACAAAAAAACAAAAAACTAATTGACCACAAACAATACAAAAGTGACCATTTTTTTCAGGACCATTTAACCTTTTCAAATCATGTCATGATTGTGTTCACACAGCAAGTGCCAAAATGTTTACCAAGTTTTGTACCATTTGGTACCACAATATTAACATCAAAATGACCGAACAGCACCAGAGGGTTAAGTTAAAAGAGATGCTCGTGTCTGTCAGAGAAGAGGACACAAGAGTCAAGCTTGTCAGTTACTTGCATAATAGGTCAGCAAATGCACATAAAATCAATTGTAAATACGGTATGTTCTGTAATCTGTCTCAGCTTATGCAAACAAAATTACTGCTATTTCTAACATTCACAATTTCACCATCACAAAATATTCTGTCTCTATTTTAAATTATGTTTAAAAACATGGATAAATTATTAGATGAATGGCCTTATTGATCTTTGAAGGAAGCAACAGCAACTACACAATATATAACCAACATACTGTACACTCTGATATACAATATATAAGATATCATAGGCTACATAGTAAACAATACAAGAGAATGTGGGAAAACATGGCAGATGACAGTAAAAGCTTCTCTGTCAGATTTATTGACGATTGGATTGTGTAAATGTGGTGTGATGGGAGAGGCAGACAGAGTATTGTTGTGTAATAGCAGCAAGTGGAAAAAAGACCTCACTGTAGATCTGTAGATCTGTGTCTCTGCTCACATGGTCATGTCAAGCAATGTCCTGCTGCTGTGTGACATTCTGTACTTCATCTATGCAGAATTTAGTCTAATTTTGATATAACTGCCTCCAGCAAGTAATTCTGATTCGTTGTTCCGTGTTAAGTTCAGCTTGGCAGAGTTTGTCATGGTGTTAAACAGGAAATGCTTTGTTTGGGCATGTCAACTTCCCCTCATTGATTTGGAAACTGCTGACACTGTAATACAAATATGGAAAGAAGAGCAAATGTAATTAGCATTTATATTTGATTGATTTTCACTCAATTTTGTCTCTTGTAATAAAATCTCTCTCTCTCTCTCTCTCTTTAAAAATCAATTTTAAAGACCCATTTATATAGTAAAACTTTGTTAGAAATGTGTACAGTATTATCTGGAAAATATTTACATATCTGTATTCATTTTTTCTACCCACCATTAGTGTACTGTAAGATGTATAAACCTGAAGAGAAACAAATGTAACTGTCTTTGATCTCATGATTCTTGCATTCTTTTACCAGTCTTTAAAAAACTGAGTACAACAAAAATGTCAAATTCAGTAAATGTAATTATATATTATTAATTTATTTATACATAAATATTATAATAATTTGGTTTTATTAATTAATTAGAACATTTATTAATTTATTTACAAATTTTCACGACTCCCCATAGCACCGAAAGTCCCCAGTTAAAAAAATCCTGTCGAAATAAAAAAAAAACAGCCATATGTTTAATATTTTCCAAAATATAGGATTATACAATTTAACTTACAATCTTGATCTTGACATTCTTTTTATTTATATATTTCCACTTACATGTCTATCCATTTAGTAGTAGACTCACCGGAGGTACACACACCCATGTTTCCTTCATTAGATGACAGCATGATGACCTCATTTCCGGCAGGTCCCAGCATCTGACGGCCGGTGGCGCGCTTGATCGCGTTTTAGAGCTCGAGCTGAAGCGCGTGCAGTGACACTCGGAGACATTCCACACGCGCTGAGAGCGAGATCAACGGCACAGTGGGAAAAACACAGGAGAGTGACACACACAACAACCACTCGAGGACCGTTGGCTTAGCTGTTTTCCTTTTTAACAGCGTCTTATTGAAATCCACAGCGGGATAATTTCAACACAAATCTCAGCAGAGACTAACCGTGAAGATGGGTTCAGTCCCGGTATTATCTGTGCTCATTCTGGCCATCGCTGTTCCGAGTCTAGCCGGATACATTGAGGTTTGTGCGCACTAATATCTCACCCTCGTTTTCATGATTATTATTGTTTACACTGATATTTCTCTTCTGAAATGTGCCTTTTTATTTTGCTTTTTATATTCCTGATATGTTAGTAGTTTACAAATGACGTCCAATGCTCAGCCTATAAAGTCATTAGTCTAATAATAAGAGTCTGTAAATTGTCCGTATCCCTGGTTGTGTCTATTTTAGTCTAATTCGGTGGCGAAAGAGAAACTTATTCAAATGTAATATTAAATAATTGTCATTTTGTTCCTTAAAGAGCAAAAGCTGGACGAAGTAAAACGATTAATTATATTTCTTTAGACGAGCTGTGGAGATAAGGCTAAATGTCTTTATCTTTTCGTTTTAGTATTTATCTCCCATCTTTATTTGTGGAACTTAGTTGTATTGAAAAACTGAAACCTAAACAACATTGATTCTGTCATAATGTCAGTTTGAAGTCCTCCATAGCTAATATCTGAATGTGCATTTATGATTAAAGCCTTTCAAATATCCTTTTAACCTATAATGTTAGTGGTTGTTTTCATTTTTGAATAATTTTTTTATAAAAGTTTGGATGTGCTAACTGCAATATTGCATTGGAGAATATCACACTTTATCAGAAGAGGCCTTTTAAGAGTTTGTGTTTGCTTTGAGTCAAATATCAAAGAACCAAGCTGGACAATCTGCTTCAGGATGTCTTTTGATCAGACCTTTATATAACTAAAACGATTCACATCATTATACATATTCATCAGGAATAGCTTTCAGATGTTTGATCTAAACAGCATCTCTTACCACGAGAAGCTTTAGGTGATAAAAAACCACTTCCCATGTTAACGGACAAGTCTGTATCTGTCAGAGAACCCTGCATCATAGGCAAATTATGCAAATGAAATCACGTGGTATGTTAAAGGAAGCCAAGTTTATAAACTCTTAAACTGGAGAAGCTCTCACACCATTCCTGGATGGTCCATGTCTGGTTGCAGCTTGTCCCTTGTCCTTTTTGCACTTTTACATGTGTGCCAATAGTCCTTTCCAATAAGAGCTCAGCCTGCCGCCATAACAAATTATGAAACAATTATTTTCAAAGCCTGAAATAATGGCAATAATGCACTGAAATAAATAATGAAATCTCTTTGTGTACTAATTGATGCATTTAGAGAGAAAGGAGCTGCGTGTGGTTCACGTGGAGATGCAGTGATGTTTATGGATATGCAAAGATCAGCATTACTGCAGAAAATCAAAGAATCATTTTACCTTCTGATCAATATTATGACCCTATCGTATTTCTGTTATCACTGCTTTTTTCTTCGTTACACATTTGGCTCCTTGTATCCTTGATTGTGTTTATCTGATAGCTCCTCAAGCGTATGATTACCATGGTAAAATGTTATTTTTGGGAGAGGTGTGTGTTTCCAGAGTGTGTGCAGCATTATGATGCTGGTTGGCAGGAGTTTGATGCTGTGCTATGAGTCCCGTTGACCTCAGACCTGATTTATAACCCGACGGGGAAAGTTCTGCATAGCCCCAAGCTCTCACTTACTGCAGGAGAGCTGCATCCATTGAAACCTCCAGTTTCTCCCTCCCAGTGCCGGGGATGGGAATTATTCCTTTGCCTCTGCCAGGTGCCATTGTGTTCGTAGGAGACAAAGGGAATGTGTTAAAATCACACTGGGCTGTCTGTTTGAGTGTTAATGCTTTACTGTTTAACTCTAAAGCCGGTGCAAGCTTGGATTTGGCTTTTTTTGTTTCCTCAGCTGTGGATATGTCCCTTTTTTATTTTGTTACAGCCATACGTTATATAACCGTACCACTTCCTGTCTCAACAATAAGGATTCTTCCTGTTAGTTTCAGATTTTTACTCGCCTTGACGACAGTTTCACTGGCCCAATTGAAGGCCAATATAACATTTAGCTGTTTAATAGCTTATTTATGAATATTTATGAACATAATGTTTTATTTTTATTTTAACCAAACAAATTTACAACACTTCTCATTACTCTTCAAACGTTTGGGGTTGGTAGTATTTATTTATTTTTTTAAATGTTTTTTTTTTTTAAATCACCAAGGCTGCATTTATTTAGCATAAATTATATTACAATTTAAAATGTCTGATTTCTTCTATTTTAATGTTTTAAATGTAATTTATTCCTGTTAGGACAAAGCTGAATTTTCAGCATCATTACTCCAGTCCTCAGTGTCACATGATCTTTCAGAAATCATTCTAATATGCTGATTTGCTGCTCAATGTACGGACCCCAACTAATATAATGCAACTCTTGATAGAAAAAAACCCAATGTCAAACTGGGCGTCAGGGGTGAGGCTTTTTGTTAAAGTCTTTTTGAAAACAGTCTGTTTTTGCAACTGCATGGCGACATAAATGTATTTATACACAGAAATAACAATTGCAGGAAATGCTATCGCACTCTTTTTAATTTTTTTTTTAGACAAATTGAAATCAGAAAACAATGTACGTTGGTTATTTAATTGATTATTTTTTGGCTTTTGCATTGCGTCACCCTGTTTTTCAGCTACTTGAGCCATGAGCATTGCATTTTTAAAAAAGCATGTCTAGTTATAGATAAGCTGCTCGACCCATGAGATAAGCTTGAGACCCATGTATACGGTTGCACTCCTTCTTGCTTTTTTAAATGCAAGAATGAGCCCAGACTGAATTCACAACATAAAGGCAGCACTGGACTGAACCTTAATGGCGCTGGCCTCAAGCCATCCTTATTGTTGAGCCCTGTACGTTTTATCTGTGTTTTCCATGTATTTGATCAAATCCAGTTTTGCGAGCTGTCACAGTGGATTGTCTGTCTCAGTGTGCCAATTTTTGCTTTTATAGCTTGCACAATGCTTGAGGTGTTTTCCTTTCAGTTGTTGTTGTCACATGGACTTTTAATGGAAAGAACAAATTCAGGGAAAAAAAGTTTATTTGAAATGAGTTCATTTCTTGAACCATTAATTTAGAAGCAAGTTCCTCTACTAATTCAAATGAACAAACTTTCCAACCCAAGCCCAGCCTTGCTGATATAACATGTTGCCAACTAACACTTGCTGGAATTACACTGGCGCCAAATCGTATTTGTGTTGTGTGCAAAGCAAAGCCAAATCATATGTGTGTTGTGTGCAAAGCTTTTTCACATTTGACTGTTTTCACTGATTGTAATGCAAGCTTTGGCACATACCAACATGAATGGAGTGTTTATTTTGTATATTTGAAAATGCAACGTCATGTGTGCTCTAGTATCCTCCAGGCTGGCAAGGACATGATGATCATTCTTGTTATTCTCATTATCTGAAGCACATTAAAACACTAAACTAACTTGGCATATGGGAGTTGCACAAACCAGCTATTGTCACCCTGTGTGTTAGAGAGAAAGCTGGAAAAGAGCTTGTAAAAATTCTCTGTTGATGAGTGGGAGTCTGTGCACTCTTTCCCAATTCTCTGAGACGGTAAACAAAAAGTGTTGTCTCTTCTCCAGCTTGCTCAAGGGTCCACCTTGCTCTTGTTACGCAGTCGTGCAGCACTGCCTCCTGTGTTCAGTGTTGTGACATGGGCTTTTGCAGTGATGCATTGCATTGCAAGGAGTTGTTGAACAAAAGGCTTAAAAGTCGAAATGAAACCTGAGTGGACCACATTCCTAGTCTTTTTTCGCCCCGATTTATCAGTGCATGTTATAAAATTTTTGTAATTTTTCATCATTAATGTGGTTTATCTCTGGAATTATTATGCTTTTTGGCTGTCATCAACTCTATGCTTATGGACTGCCCATGTTTCACAATCAAGTCTTAAAGGGATAGTTAACCCAAAAATAAGTGGTCAGCATTTACTCACCTTCAAGTTGTTCCAACCCTGTATGAATTTCTTTCTTCTACTGAACACAAAAGAAGATATTTTAAATAATGTCAGTAATCAAACAGTTCATGTACCCCATTGACTTCCATAGTATATGAAAACACATATACATCGCTATGATCAGATGACTTAACAGAAAACTAGTTTTCTGTTAAATTGAGAAAAGCGTTCAGGACATATTTACATATTCATCTAAGTGCCGCTTTCAGCAGTGTTTGGGATGTTCGCTATGCAAAGATATTTCCAACTTCCTTTTACCCCTAAGTGAAGAACAAAAAACTTTTATGTTTTTTTCCCCATTGAATATGGGACTATGACTGAAATGCCATATTTTAGAGGTTAAATACTTTCGAGTGCGAGTCTTGTTGGTTCTGATCACATCTTCCACTCAGTTAGATCCGACATTACAAAGTCCAGGCATTGACTCCAAAGCAAGCATTTCTTTGGTTTTCGCACCTGTGTTTGGTTAACATGCAGTGGTTTTGTGTGTGTGCATGCGTGAATGTTTGCAGGGGGTGTGTGTGGTCTTTGCTGTGGTGATTCTGTCTGCTGCCTTTGATGGCACACAATACATTTGTATGCAGACTTCATTGTGTGGATGTGTTAGCAGGGCTTTTAATAGCATGGATTGTTCACCCCAGGACTGATGAATGGATGACTGTGAGGGGCTATTGTGAGCTCTGAAAGAGTGCAAGGCTCCTGACCAGCTCAAGGACCCGATTGGGACATAACTGCTTGTTTATCCGATGCGATGACAGCCTTGAGATCAGACGTTAATTGCCACATTGTTTACTTGTCTTCATGATGGTGTGATGCTCAATGGTAGCATACAGAGTAACTAGATTTGTTTTCTCTGTGCTGTTTATAACCTTATTTGGCTAACAGGAACTAATGTTAATTTTCTGATAAGTGCAAGTACTCTGCCAGTAACATCTGGTATCTTTTTGATTGATTTGCTACTTTACTATATATATATTTTTAAATTGTATATTATTTCTTTTATTGCACCTTTTATTTATTTAATTTTTACATCAGTGCTGAAGTGATTCGCACGGGGTCGATAGTCAGGGGATAGCCAGGGGAGAATGAATAAAAAAAGGAATAAAAATGAGATGGTAGGCTGGGTGTACTGTC